TATTAGTTAACTGGCAGTCTCTATATGGGAATCCTGCTCGTTGCATAAGCCAATAAAAACACCTTGAGACATCAGATCCTCCATATGCAAGGCACAGCCTAAAACACAGGGAAGAACAAGAGTATTTTATTTATTTGCTGAAATACTGGCCTTCTACAGTGCGATGCATAGAAATACCAGGAACATTTTAGACATGCTGTGATCATGACTTCCATAAAGTTTGCAGAGCACAGTATCAATTCTGCCCATTTTCTTCTTTTAAAGATGTCAGAATTCTTTAAGGTTCATATTGTAACATGATGACCTTCTTAGATGACTAACAGTAAAAAAAACCCTGATATTTATAGAAAAAAAAAAATCTCATTTTTGAAGTCAAATCTTTGGTAAGCACCAAAGTACATGCTTATATTTATTCTGTGTATTAAAAGATACCTGGTATTGCGATGGGAAACACCATCTTCTACACAGCAAACACTTGTCTTCTGATCTCCCACATCTACAATGCACGCGCTGCTTAAACCACTTCCAAAGGTAGCACAGACAGATTCCTGGTGTACAACAATTCCTAGCAGTGCAAGAAAAAGGTATATCTAATTTACGCAAAGTGCGAGAGCCATGTTGCTGATATTTAAAGGACACATGAATCTCTTTTAAAATCTACATAATAGCCTGATTCTACACAGAGAATCTGTATATTTAGTGAAGATAGGGGTGGGCTTAGAGATTTTTTTGTTGGGTTTGTCCTTAAAAGGCTTGAGAAAAGCTATGAGAAGGGTGGATGCCTGTATTCAAATGTTCTTATTTTTTGTAAGATTAAAGATACTCCTGCCAGACTTTACTTTTTTTTTCCTAGTTTTAATCAAGTATTATTTGATTAAAATGATTATAATTTGATTATCAAATTATATTATCAAATGATAATAATTTATTATCACCTGTAGCATTTTATATATGCCCTTTAAGTAATTATAAAATAAGGTCTAATTTCACCCTCTGCTTTCCTTTAAACCCCCCATTAGACCTGTAAAAGAGTACCATTAAAAGAGACACCAGTTATGGGAAAAGCAAAATTTGGAAGGTGCTAGTCTCAGCCAAACTGGGAGTGATGTGCAAAAATGTGCCTTAATGGGAAAAAAACCTAATCTTTACAGTATGAATCATCAAGTGTTTGCGTATGTATGATTTTACCTGAGAAGCCCATCTTCATTAGGATCATATTTACCAGTTCTTTCACGTGTTGTTTATTATAGATGTCTGGAATCAGTAAAATGCACCTGTAGTACTAAAGATAAGTAAATTAAAGCCAGCTCTCAAATTAAGTTGCTCTTTACATTCTTGAATACCCGATTATAAGGAAGAAAGCGTAATACACAAGTTATTAAAAGAAGTGAAATTACGGAAAGGGAGAAGATTTTTATTACTTTAAAAAATGAGTTCAAAGGAAGTACCAAGTTAAGCGTTTACAGGCCACTAAAATGTTCAGAAGCACATCAGATATGAGAAAACATCTACTTGGCAAGCACAATAAATTATGCAAGTATTAGGCAACCATTCCTTGGTTGCATTCTTTACATTCAATGCAAAGGAAAAAAAGAACCAAACCAAACAGACTAAGACTGAAACCTCCTTGCTAGAAGTTCTATTAACAATTCTTATCATAAAGACATGGACAAAATTCCAAATTAAGTCTTAGGAACCATGCTCAACAGCAGAAATAATTTATTTCTTAAGAAAACCATCAGTAAGAGGTACCAATTACAGCAGGTTGCTTCTCCGTTATACTAAAATTTGCAGAACTGGATACATGAATGTGTTCACAGCTCACCTTTAGGTCTTTCAATGGTATTTCCAGATATTTTTGTATTGCATGTGACCATATAACTTCAAGGTCTGCTAATACTGCAGTGAGGGAGCCACCAGGTCCTGGATGGAGATTCAACTGCCCTCTTCTAATAGGCCAATGTATATTGTATGAATCTAGTGGATTAACATACAGTGCCTGAAAATAAGAGATGATATTCCACACATTGCTGTTCCCCACATATTAGTATTAAATACTACAGAAATATTTCAGAAGCAGATACAAGACATACAGTAGCAAGATGAAACAGCAATACAGTAGATTTATTTTTAACAGGGCCTGATTATGAGGCTGTAAATAAAAAAAGACATTAAATACATGGTTTAAATCATTTGAATGTTCATATCCATGGACATTCACTGAGCATAATGGTATATTTTTCCATTACCTGAAATTAGTAATTAAAATAATTTAAAGACTCTTTTAAGCTCATGAATACCTAATTACTCAGCAGTGATTTCATGTACTGATCCTTTAATCAGTTTCTTGTGTTTTCTCTGAATTGTACCAAATGGGCAAAGTTCTAGCCTACTCCCTGCGGAAACACTGATTTATAGCAGTAAAGGATACAGGACACATCTTAGGCAAATGGGGGAAATTGTCTCATCTTGTTGAATGTTAATAAATACACTGTTAGACCATAGTAAGTTTCTCCTGTATTGCTTGACTGAATTTCTGTGTTTTTCAACACATGCTAACAAAGCAAACTACTACTGATTACACAGCTGCATTAAAATATAATATGGAGCCTCATTTCAGCAGGAAAATGAATCTTACCTCTTCTCCTACCAAAAATTCAGGATGATTTGATGTGTTTGTCCACTTGGCCCCAGAACTGTGATCTAAAATAGCTGGCCGCATCTGTCTATTGTATGACCTGGCCTGAAATGTCATCAAAGCAAATGCTGTTGACAAGTATTTTACCAGTCACTTTTTATACATGAAAGAACAAAGAAACATCCCTCCCGAGGGCAGCCCTCGAAGAACCATTTTAGATATTAATTTTATCAGATCTTCAGAGTTCAGATCTTCACACAACAGCACTATCTGTATTTGCTGCATAAAGGGTATCAATGCTTGTCCACTAGGACACAGCATCACACCAAATAGCTTCACAAATGAACAATTTAACAAAATGTTAAGAATGAGTTACCTGATCAGGTGACACTGGTATGCGCCTCGCGCCGTTTGACATCTTTTTGGACCATATTGCTTGGTCCACCATTTTAAGGCCATTTTGTCTCTGCTCAGTACTTTCAGGTTTCTAAACAAAACCCACAAATATGCAGTGTAAGTACTTGCTTCCCAGCTACATGTCAGTACACTGGTAATACTAAAGCTCTTATTAAACAGTTAAATCATTACTGTAGTCGATAGACAGTAGAAAATACAGAGGTTCTACAATGTAAAAAAAAACATGTTTATTTTAAAGAAACTCTTTCAAACTAGAGTTCCCAACAGCTATTTTTCTAAGTCACTTTGAATCTTTTAATTGATTTTAATGGCTGCTAAACTTTATCTCCAGAGTATCGCACTCAGGACACTCTCTATTTAAGTACAGAAATATTAAGTAAGAGGAAAAAATGTTTAAATAGATCCCAATTATTTTAAGGTGAGGTTTAATATTACAGACATTAATTTGACTATTTCTTTTTACAAATTCAAATTATGAGTAAGATCACCATATATATTTTCTGAGCAGGTTGGACTAAGATGACTTGCTGTATTATCCTAGTTACAAATCTACTTGTCACCAGCACACTCAAAAACAGAGATGTCCAATTCTAGTTCTACAGCTAGCATTCTATGAACTGAAATACTGTGTGTGATATGAGACCATGGAGCAGAGAAATCAATGTGTACTCAAACTATCAATTTATTAGATTTAGATTGTGAACAAATTAAATAAAATGCTTAGACTGGTACAAGTCTATGGAAGGTGTCCCTGCCCCTGGCAGGGGTTTGAAATTAGATTATCTTTAAGGTCCTTTCCAACGTAAACCGTTCTAGGATTCAATGGCTTCAGTAAAGTGGCATCTACTGCATATTAAAAGGGGGGAAAAAATTGTCTTGGGACAAATCCGTCTTTTCTGGAAGTACATAATGCAGAAGGGGAAGGCACACACTGCACAACAGAAGATGCAGCGGAAATAGGGCATTAAAATACACGTTTTCGCAAGCTCGGTGTACGCTGTCACCGGTGTGCGGCCGCTTACATTGAGCCCGTCCCTAAGGAGCCAGCTGTCCCGGTAGGTCGCCTGCCCCTGCTGCTTGTGCCGCCGCGCGATAACATGGGGAATGCCAACGGGAAGCGTGTCCGTGGCCCTCCCGAGCCGCAGGGTGGTCGAGCCGGGGTGTATCACCACGATGAAGTTGCTCTGTATTTGCTGGAATCACGACAACGCGGGCGGGAGTGAGCCGGTGCGTGCACCAACCCGCCCCCAGACCTTTAAAAGGCCGAGCCCAGGCCTCGCTGGGCCCGCCCCAGTGCAGCCATCCGGCCGGCCGGAAGGGAACACCGCCCCGAGGAGCCGCCGCTCCGCAGCCGGGCCTCACCTCCTGCAGGGACTCGGGCACGGCGGCGGGGACGATGGGCCGCTTGACGCCGCGTTGCTCGCGCTCCCGGTCGCGGTCCCGCTCCTTGTCCTTCCCGTTCTCCGCCTCGCCCTTCTCCGCCTGGGTCATGCTCGCCGCCGCCGGGCGGAAGCCGCTTCTCAGAGCGTCGAGTGGCGGAAGCGGGCGGGCGTGAGCGTGGCACCGCCCCTCAGGCAGGTACCGCGGGGTGCCCCGGGGGTCTTCAGCGCTGCTAACCCTGAGCCGCCTCGGTTCGCAGCGGGGCGGGCGGCGGCGGCGGCGGCGCTGGCGGCTCCCCCGAGCTCTGCGGTGAGGGCACGGGCGGCGGTAAGCGGAGAACCCGAGGGGGGCCGCCGTAGGAGGTCGGACCAGGCAGCAGCCAAAGCTGCCAGCTGGGCTGGTCCCGCGGAGCAAGGAGGGCGCGGTCCGCCAGCTACCTAAAAACACGGCGTCAATGAAACCACCGTAGTACTGCGATAGGTGTGGTACATGTGTTAAGAAATAACGGTGACTACCTGTGCACCAGCGATCACTGTGTGGGAAGTTCCTCGATGAACTATGAAGATGCGGCGTCTGTTGGACTGAAGGCAATTTGAAAGACAGTGACTTTGTGCTGGCTACCTGTAAAAGCAGCAGGAGGCAGCGGTGGGGTGATTTCACCAAGCCAGCTAATTAGTAGATGTGTATGCTAACCAAAAGGCATTGCTGGATGTTACTAAAGAGAATATTAGAGAAGTGTAACTAGAAAAATTGCAGTGGCACCTTTGTAGAAGATAATTTGGATTCTTGGTAGCCAATCTTTTTTCAAATACATACAGCTCTCTCTGCCTAAACAGAAAACCCACCCCGAGCCCCAAGACCAGCAGTAAAAACTGCCATCCTGAAATGGAGCAAATTACTTAAAAGGTAATTACTGTTTAAAAGAAACTCTTCTGTGTTAGCACTTGGTATTTGAGTTTGCTGGTACTTAAGTTTTTCTTCATGTAAGAAAAGCAAAGCCTTAATTTAATTGAGAAAAGTCTTGTGCAGCAAATGGGCTTTTATGGTGGGGTGTTTATAATGGAGAAGGAAGCTGCTTCAAGAGGTGCTTATGAACCAGGTATGCTGTAAAACCCTTTATGGCCCTTAAGGAAGTGAGTTTGTGGAATGCATGGATTGTAAAAGTTATTTGTGAGTTGCATTTTAAAAGTGGTTTTAGGTTATCAATACCATAAAAATACAGAATGTTAGTACTGACAAAAAATAAATACAAAACCTATTGGGAAGCATTTCTTTGACTCTTGAGGGCCCTTCTGTAGCAATTACATGTTCTTCCTCATTTGAAAAGGGTTTTCTGTACTTCAGACAGATTTTTCTAGGAATGATGTCACAAGCCAAATTATTTATTACTTTGCAGCTACAGTAAAATACTCAGAAACTATATATACTAAGACTTCAGACAGTAAACACATATTTAATGAAACTGTGGTTCAGTTACACTGGATCCTTGAAGGAGTTCCCAGTGCAACTTCATTAATCTGTTTGTATCACAGAACAGTTTCCAGTTTAGACATGCACATTCACAACATTCAAGCTCATTTGGTCCACTGCTAAACTCTTCTTCCGTTTCATCTTGCAAATGTGCATGCTTTTGCTTGCCTCTTCAGCAAGTGTTTACCTAAAAGACAAAGTAATTACAGTAGCTTTAAAGGCCTTTATTTGTGAGATAAAACTATGTAAGAAATATTTTTTAAAATAAAATCCTTCTTAATTTAGCTAAATGAGACACGCTAAAGGCTTGCAAACTTCTATTCCTGAGTACGTTACACAGTGCTGGTATTACCTAAAAACTCTTCTGTCAGCCTTTGCTGGCCTTATGTCTTGTCAGAAAGAAAAAAAACCCAAACATCGAAATGAAAAAAAAAAAAAAAATCATGGAAAGCAGCTTATCCTTCTTCTAGGGAACTGAAGTCCTGGTGCATGTGCTTTTTGGAATATGAACTTTTCCCTACAGGATTTACAGGTATTAACCACCTGCATGCGTTTGCTTTTTTTTTTTCTTGTAACTTTTGTTATGGTAACAATGGGGAGTGGTTCATGAAACAGAAGGATTGTTTACAGAAGTCTTAAAGTAAATTAAACTATACGATACATGCATCCAGTGTTAGATGAATATTAGCCAAGCTAATAAACCACATTTAAAGTTCAGGCAGTTATAAGAAATACAAAGACCAGGGCTTTTTACCTTCTTTTTTTTTTTCTTGCCCCCCTCCTCCTTTTAAGCAACTCTGATTTATATGCTCTGATTAATATGCTTTATTCAATTTAGTAGAATTGAAGATTTGCATAGCTATATCACAGTAACAGAAAAAAAAGATTTCTACTAATAGACCTTTAACAACTTCATTAATTTCTTCCTTTCCTATTGAGAAGCATCTAGTTTAAGCAAAAAACCTCATGCATCATATGATAAGTATCAGAAATGCAAACAGAGTTTCAGTCACTATTGTTGTGGCCAGGACTTGTCATTTTGTTGGCTGCAAATTTAAAGTTATAAATATTTTTACCAGTGTTCAAAAATTTTTGCTGTACTTCATATATCCATTTCTATGCAATTAAAAGTAGAAGCTCAATGTTCTGAGCCAAAACCTTTTACTCTCCCTTCTCTCTCCCCGCCCTCCTTTACTGAAAGTACCTAACCACTTTGATTCTCTTCCCAGTTTGGTAACTTTTGCAAAAGGGAGGACAAATGGAGGACTCTGTTCTACCTTTTCAATTATTACTGTTATTAAAAAATAAACACCAAACCAGAAAACAAAGTTCAAAGCAGGATACAGCAGATTTGGAGTTACCTTCCTCATCCACCTCCAGCCATTGGTGGTGGACTGGGGCCTCCAGCCCAGTGATTTATCTGACCCATCCTACGGCGAGGAAGTGCTGGGGGCCTGAAAAGAAAGCAAGAAGAACATCTATTTAATCAGCATTGAATTGTTAAACTAGAAATAGGAGAATACTGTCTCTAAATGATGGTAATTAAAAAATCTGAACTCTGGAAGAGTTGTTTAGGCTTCATGTGAAAAGCTGTAAATTTAAATCCCAACCCCTCACAAAAATTCTCATACGCAAACTATTCTAATTACTTCTCTGTCTCTGAAGATAAAGCTGTGGCTACCTGAGCCTTTTACAGAGTCTTACAAAAAAAAAGGTAGACAAGCCATTAGAAAACATCATACCTATAGTGTTTATAGAAATTATATTCCTATAACTGTTTTGCTTTATCTGTAGGTAATCCAGTACATGATTGTTTTAATGTAAATCAAATGCTGAATATAAGCAAGTATAACAAAAAAGAATTCAACACAGATGCATACTGTCTATTAGGCAGGTCTGAAAAACAGTTTCAGTGCGAGTTAGACTATAACACTATTACAGCTACCCAAAGCTACCCATTGTTATCAGTGAGTTTCAGACAAAATACTGCAGATAACATTTTAGTCTTACATGATCCAGTTCAATGACAACTGTAATCTGAATATGTGTCACTTTGCTAAGATAAATCAGAAAAAAGTAGAACTAGTGTGAACATGAAAGAATACCCTCTGCCATCATTGTTTCCTGAATAGGAGGATGATGTGTAGCCTCGTCTTCTCAAATCTGGATGAATAATGCTCTGGAAACTGAAAAATAAGAACAGGTGTTGGGTGAACTGATTGCTCGATATAGTTTCTGATTTTTTTGGCTGTGATATAAGAAATGGCCTGAACAGTAAGCAGTGTTCAGGAGTGAACAGCATCATCTTTTCAAGATCACCATTTAATAAATTTGGCAATTTTTCTCCTACATGTGAAAATCTGAATTAATTCTAGATTATACTCAGGCTTAAGATAGAAAATCACAAATTTTTCTGATTACTGATGTGTCATTATTTTTACATAGCCAAAATCTATTGTCAGTGGTAGAAAATCTTAAAATAGTACCTTAATTATTTGACCACCTAGTAGAAGCTGTTTAACAAAACCATATGCTTTTGATTTTTTGCACTATTAAAATGGAAGAAATGTCAAGACAACTCATCTGGAGTGCCAATAAGCTAGCATCACTTTTTGTTAGATATACTCTAGGGGGTAATAACTAAAGACACACTAGAGTAGAGCATGTGTTTTGTGGACAGTCAATACAGAACACTGAAGCATAATCTGACTTTTTATTGCTGTGTTATGTACAGCACTAAGTAGCTTCTACATAGAACACGTCTGAAACCTCACCAAAAGGATTAATTGCTACTTACAACAGAACCACAAAATCTGCTATAGACCAGAAGAAATCTGTTATAGATGACAATCGCCAAGGAGCCCGGCTCCGGTTGTCTAAAACTTGTCCTGCAACACATCAAAGCACATATGAGCCAGGGATGAGTGTATGACAGCTTATGGTGTTTTACACCGCAACGTATCTGTCCATTCTGGAGCTGACACGGGGCTAGAGGTGGAGAACGCGCCCTTCGTTGGCAGCGACGGGAGGTTTAGTTCCCTGCCAGGTGTCGTCCAAGTACTTGAAATAACCGGATCGCCGCCGCCGCCACCACCCAATACTGTACGGGTGAACCTACTCGTACGGTCTCTGCTTCCCTGTCTGCAGTCGGAGTGCCTCCCATTTACGCTTCGGAGGTTTACGGAACACATTCAGGAGCCCTTTAAGGGCTGCTCGGGAGCACGTACGGGCTCGAACGCAGACTGCAGGGCTGATGTGGCAGCGGGAAAGCTGCTGGGCTCTCCCCACCGGCGGCGGTGCGCCTTGACGGCGCCCTGCGAGCGCAAACCCGGACTCCCCTCCACCCTCCGCCACAGGCCGCCGCTCACCGTTAGAGATGTACACCATGGCTGCGGCCCCCCGCGCTGCCGCGTCACCTCTCCGCGGCCGCCCTACGCCTGCGCGGGAGGGAGACGCATGCCCAGACTTGCCGCGGGCCGGAGCCTCGCTTCCGCCGGGCGGGGCTGAGGGGAAAGAGGCGGGGCGGTGCCGGGACGGGCGGTGCTTGCTGCCATGGCTCCCGTGGGCCAGCGGCTGCCCCGGTTCCCCGTTCTTCGGTCCCAGCGGGGATCGTTGTGACGGCAGGAGCCTGTTAGTGCTGTGCTGGCCGCGTTCAGGTGCGGAGGCTCCTCCCGCAGAGAGGGCGGTTCTGGTTCGCTCCCGTAGTGTGTTTGTTGCAGTGCTTACATCGCTGTGTAGTGCTGCATCGGGGCTGTCGTGCTGTTCCCGAAAACTGAGTTTTCCAACAATAGCAGGAAACAGTAGGCGTAGTTAGTAGTGTGCCTGGGACATTTCCATAAAAATTGGAACTCTTGGGGAGCTTCTGCCGGGCCTCAGAGAAAAGCCCGTGCTTTGTTTTGGGTCGCTGCTTCCTTTATTTGTTGAAGGGTCTTGTCTATCCTCCATGGCTTTCTCTCATGGGCTATTGACAGTGGTAACTCACTGTAGTAATATTAGAAATATAACCAAATGCAGATAATTATTTAAAACTGCTCTCCAGAGGCAACTTTTACTCCTTTTATGTAGCAACATGTATATGGCAGGAATGTTCTGCCCAGAGTGTTTGCTTATTTTATTTTTATAAACATACTGTCCTGCAAATAGTGCCAGCATTTCTTCTTATGGAGAACCTATGCTTGTAAAGTTGGAGGTCACTATGTGCTATACAGGCAAATTTAATGTGATGCCTTACAATTTTTTTTTTAATTATTATTTTAAGGCAGTAGAGAAGGAATGTGCAGTTCTACTAGGAAACAGAAGTAGTGAAAATCAGTAGAAAAGTATTTTAAAGTCTTTTAAGACTACCTTTGCAAGACCTATCTTTTCCCTACAATGACAAGGCAATCTTTTGCTAAAAACTCTTAACACAAAAGTGTTGTCGGAAGTTGAAATATAAGTAATATAAGGTCTCTGACAATCTAGTTCTTCCCTAATAAAGAAATTATTGCAACTGACAGGTGTTCATAAATGTCCTCAGAAATAAACAGTTGGAAGAGAATGAAAGTAATTGTGGAAAAAAGTGTCTGTAACAACACACAGAAAATAAATATTTATCATGATCATTTATCATCAATATAGGAGCTAGGTAATATACCACTTAATAAGTTGGGAAATACAGAAGCCTTTTGGAAATAGTGGTTGCTACACAGTGCGTAATGGGCATAAACACAGGCAGTATGTTAAAATTATTCAGGGACAACACCTATCTTTTTTCTGACTTAGTTGTCACCAGTGCCCTGCCTAAAGGACCAATCTGGCTGGGAATCCCACCTTGGCCACGTTCTCTTTCTGGTCGTGCAGGTGAAAGACCAGCGGCAGCATGCTCTCCCACACCTCCTTCATCTTCCTCTTTTCAGCACCCATCGCAAGCCCCATCACATACTGGTAGAAGTACATGGAGATCTCCCTCACGGTGTCTGACTCCTGTGGGAGAAGGATCTCAGCCCCAAGCCCATGGCGAGCAGGGGCCTGACGTGGAGATGGATGTTCCCAAAACAGCCTGCTCCTAAAGGGAGCGAGCTGCAGCATGCAGAACGTCTGCCCGGCAGGGGTGGGGGACACAGCAGGAGACCCTGGGCAGGCTCGGGGATACTGCCAGGGCAGGCTGGGGCTCAGCAGCCCTGCCGCCATCCTGCCACCACCAACTCCTGCAGCAGGGAGGCCAAGCCAGGCAGGGAGGGGATGGGGGACAGTGCAGAGCTTGCCGAGGGCAGCGATGGGGCAGTGGGGCAAAGTATCCCCCTGCAGAGCATGGGGCTGGGGTGAGAGGTGTGAATGCAGGGGTGAGAGGTGTGAATGCAGGTGCCCGGTGCAGGGGCACAAGTCTCTCCTCCAGCCTTACGTTGTCAAAGAGCAACCGGACCTTGGGAGCAATGGCAAGGGCGCTGTGTGTCTTCCCCTCCAGCAGCTGGAGTAAGTTGCTGAGCACCAGCATGGCCAGGGAGATGGCATCACTGTCATCAGTAGCCTCCAGTCACACCACGATGTTTGGCATCAGGGTGAGGATCTTCCTTGCCTGTGTGAGACATGCCACCTCATTTTTGTAACGCAGTGACTGATGGCAGGAGTGAAAACCCTCTCTGCAAACACCAGTCTCCCCACTGGCTCCTCAGCAGGCAGCACAAGTTATGAGGGCAAGCATGAGCCCAGCAGACTGTGCTCACTGGCATGGCCAGGGGAAGAGCAGGGCAAAGAGGGGAAGGACAGACAGCATGGGCTCCTCGCCATCCCCTCGGCTGCCCCTTCTCCAGCAAAACCCCTGGGCAGGCTGGTGGGTGCCTGGCACTGCCTGGAAAGCTGTCAGAGGTGCCGCAGCCCCTGCTGCGAGTGCTGCATTTCACCCCAGGGCTCAGCACCTCACAGCCCGGCTTTGCAGACCCCACACTCAGGGTAGTAGCTGTGCTGCCAGCACCCCTGTTGGGATGTGCCAGCAATGGTAGCCCTTTCCCCACAGCACTACTACCTCTATTCTTGCGGGGCATAGCCATGGGGAACTGGACTGGGCAGGCACAGAGCTGGTACTTCTCCCGATGCCCAGAAACACTGAAGCCACCGTATTACCCAGCAGCACCGCTGGTGTCCCAGCCACCCTGCTCCTCCATGGCCAGGTCCTCACTCTCAAAGCCCATGTTGCGGAGCAACTCTCTCATGGACTGCGCTGCTGACCTACACAAGGAGAGATGCTCAGCTGCCACCAGCACCCCTGTCTTGGCCAACAGGGATGAGAGGACAGGGATGGAGCACCTGATGGGAGCAAGCTGATCCTGCTGGTTCTCCTTCCAGCAAATGAGCACTTACTTTTGCATCAGCTGTGCTATGAATGACACTTGGAACAGCAATGCAAGGAAAAGCTGAGGGAAAACCTCCTCCACCTCCACTCTCATGGACTGCACTGCTGACCTGCGCAAGGAGAGATGCTCAGCTGCCACCGGGACCCCTGGCTTTGGTCAGAGGGACTGGCTGAGGATGTTGTGTATCATCCTGCATGCCTGCAGAAGACACCCAGAAACTGAGACGTCCTCTCATCCCTGGGGAGGTCAGGGCTTCGATGGGCAGGGAAGAGGAAGGGGAGCCTTGCACAGCTGAGAGCAGCCACGGGGGACAGCAAGGCCTTATCGAGCAACTCACGGCCAGGGACAGAATGCGCGGGGTTGTCCATGGTGGTGGCAGAGACCTTGCGCACCGACTGAGTCACCGCTGTGCTGAGCAGCTCCCCCAGCACCTTCCTTGCAGCTTTGGGCTCAAAGCATCGTCTTCCACATGTCCATGGTGTCACTGCAGGGACACGGGGCTCTGTCAGCAGGGACACTGGAGGATGGGCGGGCTGAAGACCCTCAGGAGGGTCTTGGGGCCCCCATCCCAGTGGCGGATGAGCCCCAAAGGCTGCGGGGCCCTATACCTGCCACATGTTGGGGAGCACTGCAGCACGCTGGCCACCAACTCTCTGGGTTTTTTGCATGTCATCATCAGCAGGGCTGTCTTCAGGCTGTTGCGGGCTATTTCTGTGCTGATGGAGGGCAGGTTTCTGTAGATGGCCCACGTGATGTTCAGCACCTGCAAGGGACACATGGGTGGCAGTGGGGAGTGGTGTTAGCAGGGTGAGCGTGGCTGTTTGCCCAGCACCACCTGGGTGCTGCTTCCATTCCAAGTGTGATATACCAGCTTGAGATAGTGTCAGTGCTGGCCAGGCACAGAGCCAGGACAAGAACAGTCCCCGGAAGGTCTGTGCATGAGCCGTGCCACCACAGGCTGCTTAGCTGCCCTTTCTAGAAGTCAGTGTCTGGCACAAGGATGTCCACCATGTGGGCAGCTGTGCTGATGCTGTAGACCCCTGGGTTTGTCAAGGTCTTCATGGCCATGAGGATGATATCTGCCCACTCAGAGGGCTGGAGGTACTTCGTAAACATCTGCGGGATCAAGGAGAGGTAGGACTGTCACTAGAGCATCCTGGCTGTGCAGCAAGAGCGGGACGCAGAGCCAGGCTGTGCTGGGAGGATACCAGTGGTGAGGCTCAGGGTCCTGTGGGGAACCCAAGCTCACTGGGGCCTTTGCCTGGCCCCTGCTCAGGAACAGCATGAGCCCCATCACCTGCATGCACTGGGTGTCCCTTCACTCATGCTGAGCCCCAGCCAGGAGCCAAAGGCACTTCTCACCGAGAACTTCTCTCTTGTGTGTCTGGTTTTCAACAGGTCCCAGGTGTGCATCTGTCGCCAGCTCTTCTGGAGCTGCTGCTGCCTTCTCTTTGGCAGACAGGTGTACATGCCTGGGGAGCAGCAAAACCAGGGTGCTCAGAGAGAGGCTGCAGAGCTGGAGGTGCAGCTGAGAGTGCTGGGCTGAAAAGTCAGTGCCAAAGAGAGGCCTGGACCCACACAGGGCCAGAAAGCCCAGGGAAGGTCCAGGGTTAGTACAAGCATGGGTGAGGGGAAATGACTCTTAGGGCTGCAGGCAGGCAAGTTGGATCTGGCTTTCTCTTGCCAAGAAGAGTGGCCCCTGGCTGCCTATGCCCAGGGGAACCCAGCCCCCCACATAGCTTCTCTTACTTAGGTGCTGCAAGGTGAAGCAGTATATCTGAAAGAGAGCTTCTGCAGCCTCATGGCAGGTCCCCTTGTTCTTGCAGGGGCAGCAGAGGGTGAGGTGCCCCACCAGCTTCCCCATCATCACTGTCTTCCAGCACTGACACTGGAGTTCTGGGGTCTGCATAGAGCAGGAGCAGAACTGGGGGAAGACGGGCACAAGGTCACCTGGGCACAAGGAGAGCCTCAGCCGCTCCCAGAGCAGCCCAAAGCAGGGCAGGGATGCTGGCCCCAGGCTGCTGCCTGTGCTCAAGGAAAGAGCACAGACAGGGCAGGGCAGAGCCCCTGCTCCTGAGCTCCTGCAGACCGGGTGCTGCTGGGGCTCATGGGCATGAGGCTGGGGCTGCCCAGGCTAGGAGATCAGTACCTGTGGCAGGGGACAGGTGCTGAAGAAGCTGGCCAGCCGGGCAATCTGTGCCACGGCCCTCTCCTGCACCACAGCCGCCCCCGAACTGATAAAGGGCACCAGGAGCTGGGAGGAGAAAAGCTGTGTGCCAGAAGGTGGGGAGGCACAGCACAGCACCTCAGCAGTGCCTGACACAGGGCATGTGTCCTTCTTGCCCCTCACAGCAATGGGCTGTGGCCAGGTGGGTCCCCGCATCCCACTGCTGCTGCTGCCCTGCTGCTTTGCACTCACCGCCCCACAGAAAAGGTCCCTCCCTGCACCCGCCGCCCCTGAGGACCCCGAGGCTTTGGGGTGACCCCTCCCTGGAGACCTGGGGTAGGGATCTGGGATATGGCCCGTGAAAGCCGCAGGGGGAGAGCGCCAGGGCTGGGCTTCCCTTTCCAGCCAGGCAGCTGCGTCTGGAGGGTTGTGCAGTGCAGGCAGTGGGCGAGGACCAGAGGTCACTGCCCAAGGGGACCCTGTGCCAAGGCCAGACCTTGAAGAGGTTTTGAAGCTGCAGGGTGTCAGAAACTTGCAGTAGAGCCAAGCCTCAGGGCCCTGGCTGTCCTGTGGAGGCAGGTGGAAGATGCTGCAGAAGCAGGGTTCCAGCAGGCCATTCTTCTCCTGCAGAAGCAGCCCCGCTGTGCTGCAGGGACAAGGAAGATCTCTTTGGAGGAGGCAAGAAGGAGGCAGATCCAGGGGTTGGAGACCTGGGCTGATCCCCATGTTACAGGGGCCATCTGAACCCCTCCTGACCCTGACATTGGCCTTTGGGGGGAAATCCCTGTGCCACCCACCCACTGCCCTGCTGTCTGCCCCCCTCTCAGCCCTGCCTCTTGCCACCAAGCAGATGGAGGGGACCTAGGAGAAGGGGGACACTGGAAACAGGTTACTCCTCGTAGTACACATGGATTTTGCCCCAGCTCAGATCACCTTCCCAAGTACCCCTCAAGAAGTGATTTGAGGCCCTGGGAGCTGAGGGTCAGGAAACTGAGGAAGGTGGTGCAGTAGATAAGGGATCATGCAGGTTAGAAGATTTCGGGAAATGGATGGGACGTAGGAGATAGGGGAGGGATAACACCAGGCTCGCTGGAGATGAGCTAGGGGGTAGTGTCCCGCTGTTGGAGTCCAGATCCACAGAGCAACTTCAGTGCATCTGTGCCAATGCCCGCAGCATGGGCAAAACCCAGGAGGAGCGGAAGCCATTGTGCAGCAGGGAAATCGTGACATCGTCACCATCACAGGAACATGGTGGGACAATTTGCACAATTGGGGTGCTGCAGTGGATGGCTGCAGGCTCTTCAGAAGGGATAGGCAAGGAACAAGAGGTGGTGGGGTTGCATTGTATGTCAGGGACTGCTAAGCCACTCTCCATCATCCATCAGCAGTCCTGGTCTGGTGGGCATGTCCCAGAGGACTGGAACCTCCAGGCCTGTGAGCCTGAGCTCGGTGCCAGGGAAGATCATGGAGCAGATGATTCTAAGCGAGATCACACAGCACAAGTGGGAAAATGGGGGAATCAGTCACAGTCAGCATGGGCTGACAAAGGGCAGGTCCTGCTTGACCAACCTGATCTCCTTCTATGACAAGGTGACCTGCCGGATTGATGAGGCAAAGGCTGTAGACATTGTCCCTTTGGAATTTGGAAGCATTTGACGGTGTCTCCTCCCACAGCATTCTCCTGGGGTCACTGGCTGCTCATGACCTGGATAGGGGTGTTCTTTGCTGGGCTGGAAACTCGCTGGATGGCCAACACCAAAGAGTGGTGGTAAACAGTGTTCTATCCAGTTGGTGAGCAGTCACTAGTGGTGTCCCTCAGGGCTCGGTGTTAGGGCCAGTGTTGTTTAATATCTTCACTGATGATCTGGATGAGAGGAGTGAGGGCACCCTTGGTCAGTTTGCTGACGACACCAAGTTGCGTGGGAGTGTTGATCTGCTGGAGGAGAGGAAGGCTGTGCAAAGGGAGCTGGCCAGCTGGATCGATGGGCCATGGTGAGTGGTATGAGGTTCTACAAGGCAAAGTATCGGGTCCTGCATTTGGGTCACAACAACCCCATGGAACACTCCAGGCCTGGGGAAGAGTGGCTGGAAAGCTGCTCATGGAAAAGGACATGGGGGTGCTAATTGGTGGAGCTGAACATGAGCCAGAGTGTGCCCAGGCAGACAAGAAGGTCAATGGCATCCTGGCTTCTATCAGCAATAGTGTGGCCAGCAGGGCCAGGGCAGGGGCTGTCCCCCCATACCGGGAACTGGTGAGGCTGCACCTCGAATCCTGCATTCAGTTCTGGGCCCCTCACTACTGTACCTCCAGCACACTGAGGTTCAGGAGCGGGCCCAGAGAAGGGCAGCAAAGCTGATGAAGGGTGTGGAGCAAAGTGTGATGAGGAACAGCTGAGGGAGCTTGGTGGGGATCTAGTCTGCAGAAGAGAAATATATGGCAGAGTATTCCCATTGTGTTGGCAGGAATGTTCTGTCTAGAGTGTTTGCTTATTTTATTTTAATAAACACACTGTCCTGCAAAGAGCAGCTGGCATTTCTTCTCATGGAGAACCTATGCTTGTAAAGTTGGAGGTAAGTATATGCTATACAGGCAAATTTAATGTGATGCCTTATCATTTTTATTTTTTTTTATTATTAATTTAAAGCAGTAGAGAGGAATGTGCAATTCTGCTGGGAAACAGAATTAGTGAAAATGAGTAGAAAAATATTTTATTACTGCCTTTGGAAGACCTGTCTTTTCCCTACAGTGATAACGTAATCTTTTGCTAAACCTCTTAACACAAAGTGTTGTCTGAAGTTGAAATATAAGTAATATAAGGTCTCTGATAATCTAGTTCTTCCCTAGTAAAGAAATTGTTGCAACTGACAGGTGTTTATAAATGTCATATGTTTCAGAAATAAACAGTTGGAAGAGAATGAAAGTGACTGTGAAAGAAAAGTGTAACTGTGGGAGAGTACGAGGGCCAAAGTGAGTTTAACCTCGATGAGCTGGCCTTGTGTCCTTGAAGTGGAGGAGGGCAGGAGAAGAAGGACCTTGCAGTGGAAAGAAGAATCTCGGCTAACGACTGGAGGAAAGTGTGGATAGCAGCATTGAACCAATCAGTATAGCAGTAGAAGCACGTGAACACAAGGTAGTAATGATAGTATAAAAAGCCCATTAGCGAAGCAGTATAAGTCTTTGGCCTATACCCCACCAGAGTCCGTGTTGTCAATCTCAACATGTAACAACACACAGAAAATAAATATTTATCATCAATATAGGAGCTAGGTAATACACCACAATAAATTGGGAAATACAGAAGCCTTTAGGAAATAGTGGTTGCTACACAGTGTGTAATGGGCATAAACATAGGCAGTATGTTACAATTATTCAGGGACAACACCTATCTTTTTTCTGGCTTTGTTGTGTCTATGATGATTTTTTATTTTTTTTCTTTCAAGTAACAGTCGAGTGTAATCATATCAGTTTCAGTTTATGAATTCCAAAACACAGCCTACATAGGTGGGGAAGAAGGCCAGATTTAGTCAGTAAGTCCTTTGAACATTGTAGGTTCTCCATGAAATCAGGTAAATGGAACAATAAACTGGAAGATATATTTATGTACTTTTAATTTATGGAATGCATAGTAGATCTGATACTGTGTGTTAGATGACACTGTTATATAAATGCTAAGCTTATACAGAAAGTGAAAATATTACTTTAAAAAGGTATTGTCAAATTATAGAAAAATAACAGTACCCAGGGAAAGTATGTAACAAATGCATACCTTTAGTATGCTAACATGTAAAAACAATAGAATCTTGTTTTTAAATTCTTTTCATCAATATGCTTTGTTTTCTTTTCACTAGGCTTTGAGACAAAACAGCAAATTAACTTGCATTTAAAGAACTATTGCACAAGTAGATACAGCATGTACCAAGGAGAAAAATAAAACCAGGGAGGATGGCAAGGGAAGATAATGGCGGTAAGCAGAGATAAAGGAGATAGTGTAAATTTTGTGATGTATTGAGAACACACACAAACTGACTCCTGCTAGTATAAAAACAATTGTCAGAGTCTAAACATTTCACTGTACTTTAGACAGAAACATAATAGTGAACCTGAATATGAGCAGGTAGCTATTCCACCTGAAGTCATGCTCTGTATGCAGCTGATGTTGTCCTGCATGAATTAATGTAATAGTAATAAGAGTTTGAAAAAGTCATTCCCTTTTTAATGTATTATCTTTCAGAGGGAATGTGTTAATCATGCGGAAAGAACAATGTGTTTTTTGTTTTCCAAATGACAAAAAACCATAACCAAACCCAAGCAACAAAGATAATGATGAAAGGGTTAATTTTTTTTTAGTTAATTTTTTTTTAAGTAAAATAATATGTGAGATAGTCTTGGTTTATTTAATAATAAAGTAATAATAAGTATTTTCTCAGTGCCCTAAAATTATATAATTAAAGTTAAAACTTTCTCTGTAAAGTGTATTTTTTGTCAATGAAATGAAAGAAAATATAAAAATACTTTTTCTATGGAAAGTACTTGTGTGTGTATATTCCTAACAAAGTTTTAATTGTCCAAGAAAGCACGTATAGGTACTTAACAGTGGCAAAATAACCAACCGATGCATAAAATGATACATGAAAATGTTAGTATTTTTAAAGTACTTGCATATGTATTATTTATTTAATTTGATATCCAAGTTTTAGACATGAACATGTGAGATTGAAAAGGTGTGGTTAAAAAGCAGCAGTAGTGTTGCATTATCAAGCTTGGTATCAATCCGCCTGTCCTCGAGTCAGGGATGGAGTAGAGAGAGGAATAGGAAAGTAGTCATTCATGTGCATTTGGAGTTTGTGGTACCACATTCTACAGTCAGGACAGGAGGTGTGGATATAGTTCTGGTGGGAGCTCATTACTGGTGGCATCCCACTCTGAGCACCTGCTAAGGACAGGGCGCGTGTGTCTAGCTGTTGCTACTTAGGGTCCTTCAGTGACCTGCACCTTTGCTTACAGTCTGCCTGCCTGATGCTGGGAAGTTCAGAGGACTGCAGCTGCAGTGCATCTGTACTTAAGGAGAATCAGCAGAAGACAGCGTTTTGAAAGGCAGCAACAGAAATACAAAACAGTTGAGCTGCCCATCTGAAGGTGGGTACCATGAGGAAAAGAGCCAGGCAGTCGTTGGTGCATAAGAGCAAAAAGATAACATCAATGCTATTTGGAAACTGGTGAGATTTGATCATTTGATGGCAGGTAAAGTAAATACTGTAGGACGCTATGAAGAGTACTGTAGGCCATGTATTAAGCAATTAAAAAATACCAATACTAAATTGGTTTTTCCTTTATAATGCAATCTGAACTCTTGGTGGAATACCTTTTGTTGTTAGGTGGTTTGCCATTTTAAGCTCTATTCTAGATGTACATATTAATAGTTTGATTCCTTGTGAATTGTGTATTTGTGTATCAGTACGTAAGTACTGATTTCTGAGCAACATGTTACTGTGCTTTGGTAACTTTTTCCATTTTTTTCATTAAAAAGTAGCAAAACCACAGGTCAGCTATTTCTGTAGCATTTTATATACTAAGGGACAAACTTTTAGTTGTGATGCAAGAGAATTAAAAAAATGGGTGCGTAGAGAAGTGGTGATACAGCATGCACAGGGCTTGTACTCTCTAAAATTTATGCTACATTTTTAATATGAATGTTAAATTAAACACTAAACTGTGGGAAGCTTGACTCTGCCCTAAGGAGGATCTGCACATTAGAACAGCAGAAATAGAAAAGATCTTTTTTTGCTGGACTATTATGTTTGGGGGTTTTTTTTGGTGTTTGTTTTTTTTTTCATAGTGATTATCATGTTGCAGCTTTATATAATTCAAACGGAAACATTCAAAAGGTTTTTTTTTTTATCTTAAATTATTCATAGAAGACCTTATTGTCATGTAGCATTTGTCTTACACACACCAGAATTAATAATGTATGTATGACAGTGAAAAGGTCTTCTAAACCCCAGTTTATAAATGTAGAACATTCATTGCAACATTAACAGAAAACTCAGGAGATATTTCACTGATTTTATTTGTTTTGTTTTTTAAATAGCTTTTATAAGAGGAGTTAAAATAATTTGCTGTTTGTGGAAGAGGTGAAACTCAATTTTTAGAACTAAATAGGTTGATTTAATGTCAGAATTTTCATCAGAACTTATCTGTTTAAAAAAAAGCTTCCATTCTGAATGATTGGTTGAAGACCTATCAGGATTTTTTATTTGTTGGTGCCCCCAGGCAAGGATATCCTTATGTACTGGGGGGTTTGAGTTAAAGGTATATGGTGCAGATTTCAGCTAAGAGATACATTTTGCAAAACCATCAGCTTTGATCTCAGCATAAAATCAGGTCAAGAAAATAAGCACATAATTCTGTCAACTATTCCCCTCCCACCTCCCCTGCTGGAACAGAGATTGGATGTTCTAATAATAGGATTTGTCTGCAAATTGTTTTTTTTTTAATACTATTTGTTGATATCTGAATGATGGGGCTTTAGTGCAAAATCACTACAGTTAACAGCTTGAAAGCAAATATATGCTGGAGAAATGCCAAAAGACTGTTTTAGCATTTTATGTTTCTTTAGATAACAGCATATCCCTACATAGAGAAAGCCATAACTGTCTCTTCCAAATTCTTCTTAATAACAAAGACTTCGGCCCTCAGTAGAAGGAAATAGTTGGTTCTTAATATAAAGTTGTATGAGAGTCTAGAAAGAAACTTTGATACTCCTTTATGCAGGGTGACTAATGTGTTACGTCTTCAGGCAGAGAAAGTGTGTTCAGCAATTGATGGAGAAATACTCGTTTCTTGCACGGTTATTGAGTAGTGGTGATAACTTTGAATATCCATCAGGTGGCAGTGTAAAGTGTGAAATAACGCTACCTGCTTTGTTTAGTTACTCTGCGAACTACCAAGTTAGTCATAACATATTTGGCTTCTCTGACACAAAAATCCTTGTCACTAGAATGTACGTAATGCAGAATTGTCAGATTTGCACTGGATTAAGGACCACTGTTGAATACGTGGATGTATAATGATTTGGGAATTTGTTAGAAGTCTCAGATTGGTAGAGTTTTGGGTGAACTTTAAAGAAATGCTGTATATTTCCATTTGTTTATTAAATAACGGGAAAGATTGGGGGGATTTGTCGTTTTTGATTGTTTTTGTTGGCTCCCTCCCAGTCTGGGAAGAAGCTGAGAACTCTGCTGTGGAATAGCAGACTTCCTATTTTGTTAGTGGGACTGTTGACAATTTTTTGGTATAAGTGAAAAAAGGTTAACACAAGTAACAATGACCTTTTCAAATACAGTGGGTAGGAAAAATAATGGAAGTAACAATGACCTTTTCAAGTATAGTGGGTAGGAAAAATAATGATCATCAGATGGGTCAACTGAGGTCAAAAATCACATCCTCAAATGTACACAGGAAGTTACCGGCAAAGCCTGAAACAGATCTGACTTTCTTATTCTCATACCTGTGTTATTTTCCAGAGGATATGTTTGTAGGTAGAGGAAACAAAAGCAGTATTTCTGTTAGTATTTTGGTTTAAGGCAAATATCCTTTGCCTTATTAGGCTTTCTGCTAATGCATGAGAATTTTGATTTGTCACGTACCTTATGAGACTGGATTGTGAGTGTATGCACACACGCAGTGCCTGCTTTTGTTATTCCTACTCTTTTTATGAGCTCCTTTAAAAATAATGAGCTTTCTGTTTAATGAAAGGTAAAATTTAGCGCAATGAAATTTGAAGGATAAATGTTCAAGTTAGGGATTATCCTTTTGTGTTACTGTTCCTATATTTTTAAATGCTTTTTGTAAGGTTAGCTTGGAAGCACATGGCTATTTCCATTTCCTAATTTAATTTCATACCAAATATATCATTATCCCATTGTAGTATCTTTAGAAATTAAAAGCAATGATTAACCAGAGGAATGGATTTGTTAAAATGGATAGTGTGGATGTTGGCTTTTCTGACAGACTGTTTAGCCCACAGACCTACCTACCTCAGCTGCAGGTGACAATGAGGTGGAACTGAAGTTGTATTTTTCTACTGAAATTTTGGTCTTACCTGCATATAAAAATTTGCTTGTACAGATTTGTTTAGCACTGTGACACTAGCAAAGCATTATGTGGTGTTTTAAAGTTTGGGAAAAGATAAACGGGGGGGGGGGGGGGGGGGGGGGGGAAGCATTTTGGAGTGCTGAAGAACAGTTTAAATGCCAGACATTATCATATCTAAGCAAACCTGGTTTTATTCAATAGGTTTTTACATTGAATGTGTTCTCTGGGCCTGCCAATGCATATAGTGTGTTTCTATTATCTGTCTGTAAAAGTTCTATTAAATGTTTGGCAAACATTAGACTGCCTGTTTTAAGTGATACCTTGTTTATGAATGCATGTAATACGGAGACGCAGTCCTGGAATCATACCTGACTTCAGCAAATGAAGCCTTGTTTTTTGCCCTTTGCAGCATAATGGCCAGCAATGTAGACTTGTCAATGGAAATTATGTATGACAAGGGTAATATAAATTTTGAGAATGCCCAGTACTTTATTAGAAATGGCAATGCAAGTAAGGTGACAAATTAAAATCAAAGCTTTAGCTGCTGCTACAGGCCTTAGCTGTTGAACTTGCTTTACCTACTTCAGACTTAACAGCCAAGATGAAAGTAGCCGTTAAGCTACTTGACAGAAGTAGGTGGATGAGGCCAATTCCAGAATCTATTTGGTGAATAAAAAAGGTGATGTGATAATTGACACATTGTTCTGAAGAGCTCTTATGGCTGTCCTGGAGTATTAATATCAGGTTTTGTCTTCTGAAAAGAACTCATTACTTTAATGGAATATGCTAATACAGTCAAAAACCTTGAAATGGGTGCAAGCAATGTAGGTAATTCAAAAGCACATGGCTGGGATCTTTGGGGGGGGGTGGGGTGGGGGGTGGGAAGATGTAGATGCTGTGAAGCCTGCAATGGGTGCTGGCATGATGGTTCTGTAGAGGTTTTCAAAGCAGATTGCATTGAGGTTGCAGCCTTCTTACTCCATTCTCATTGCTCCTGATGTTGATTTTCCTCTGCATGCAACATTGCCGTGCTTTGTGGGGAGTGAATGCGGTAAGATTTGCATGAAAAACAGTCTGGGAATGAGGTCTGAGGCCTTAGTGCTTAACAAGCCCTGGGGCGGTAAGTTGGAACGGTGAAGCACCGGAAAGGTCGAGAAACAACCCTTGGGGGGTATGGCCCCGGATGTTGTTGTGACGGGAAGCTCCCTTGGAGCCAGACGATTGTGGGGGTTGCCAGAGAGTCCGAAACGGCGGGGTGAACAACGTGTGCTGAGCATTGTGATTGGGCTGTTTACCTGGGCAGTTTTACTGGGGCACTGAAATTGAACGTGGCATGTTTGTGCAGGTTGGGAAAGTACAGAACAGGAAGATGCAAAAGGCCTTGATTGTAATAAAGTTGGGTTTGAGTCTCCTCATCAACTTGAGTCTCTGTGGTGATATGCCACAGTTCTTGGTTTTACTGAACATTAAAGGAAAGCTACAACCACGACAAAAGATTCATTGCAGAAATATATTTCCTTTTCTGAAAGGTGCATTTAAAACAATGGCCTTCTGGTAGGAAAAATTCCCTAGAAGCTGTAGAATTAATCTGGAACAACACCCCCAAAGAAAAAAAAAGCACATTTTGCTGGAGGTACACAATGTTCTAATGTCTCATGGGTTGCAAAAAAGGTTTTGAGTTACCACATTAAATCAATTTAGGCACATGTGAGACATTTTATTGGAGAGTTAATCAAAGAAGTATTATGTAATATCTGATTGGGGAACATATACATCATCTTTGGTTTAGCTTTTATGTAAATGTCACATTTATTTCTGTCATTGTTAGATGATAAGGACACAAAAGAATCCGATTTCTAAGATACAGGTGAAATTCTTTATCCCATTTATTGCGTTTTCAATTTCTTTTTATTTAAGATACTCCACTACATTTATACCTCATGAACTAGAACATAACATACACTGACTGGCTCAGTGCTATCAGAAGCAGAGCTAGCCCCCAGTATGAAATACTTGCATATAAATTTATTTAGTAGTTTTGTCTCCATCAGACTTGGTGACAAAACTGTGCTTTCAGTTCCCTACATTCCTATTGTCTGACTTTAAAAATTCCCCATTTTCTGCCTAGCTTAAATAAGTAGTTTTTAAAATTGGAAGGAACAACTTCAGGACATCAGAAGAATTCTGAGTAACTTCTTTATGTTGTTAGTTAATTTCAATTGCATTTTCATGTGTTTCATGCTCAAGGAAGAAAAACCTAGCTTGTCAAGAGGTTGTAAGTGCTAATTTCATTCACCTATAACTATGGTAAAAATTAAGGTTCTCCAGCAATCCAGTCAGCATGAAGCTGAACGTCAATGGTACAGAAAAAGTAATG